CTGCAAAGAAACTTCTTTGGGTTCTGAAGGAACAGGAACAATCTTGGGATGGAGCCTATTTTCATGGAATTATTTTACAACAACATGTAATTCCATTTCTTCGTGATCCAACCAATGTTCTCGACACAGATGAAGTTACATTTCTTCATGATAAGGCACCTTGTATGAAGGCCAATGCAACACAGCATCTGTTGGAAGACGAGGGGTTGAAGTTTTGGGGAAATTCGATTTGGCCTGGGAATAGTCCTGATATGAATCCAGCAGAAAACATTGGTGCAATTATCAAAGACAAAGTCGAAGAATTAATGGCAAGTGAAGACCGTCAAAACAGATACAATTATGATATTCTCGAAACTAACGTTGAGAATACACTCAAAGATCTTGAAAATGATACAGATCTTTTTATTGATTTGCTGTGTTCAATGAAGAAAAGATTTGATGCTCTCAAAGCTGCTGAAGGAGGATATACAAAGTTCTGAATTTCGTCACAAACGGTTATGTTTGAGCATTTTATATTACTAATAAATTGGGAATTCTGTGGTTCACAATTTGATTCAGTGAGTGGTACGATAGTTTTTTCGTTGACTCGAAATGGTATAATTTTCGACATTTTTATGTGTGGTCCAAGGTATTTTTTGATTATTGCCTAGCAATTGTTTATTCTAATTAGATCCTTAGACGCAGATTTTGACGGGCTTTAATCTGGTATAAAATAGTTGGTTCTATCATTGATCAATTAGGTCGTTAAGGGGGCGTAAATGTTTTTTAACACCCTGTATAATGAAAACATTTATGTAATTCCAAATCATAAATTTTTCAGGAAAAAGATATAATTTTGCCTCATAAAATTTTCATCGCTTATGAAAATGAAAGCAAAAGAAAACACAAGCATACCTTATTATAATGGAGCAATCTTTTATAATTAATATTTTTATCACCTTCGAGAGAAATATCATTTTTTGTTACAAATACTGGTTGATGTTCAAGCAAATGTTCATGAGCATCGTTTTGATCATTAGCCGTAACAGACATTTTTTTCTTGTTCAGAAAAAACAGAGAGTCAAGGATGACATGATGAAAACAGTTAAAGAAAAAATGCAAACAAATTTGGTGAATGAATAATTGTGACGATTTGTGGATAGAAGAAGGGTTAGCACTGATGGAATTACCCTTTATTGTATTTCTTCTTATCAAGAATCGTATCGTTTGCATACAAAGCACGCATTTATATACGCAACCAGAAGAATGAGAACGGAAAACACATATAGAACAGAAAAAGATGTAGATAAAAGGAAGAGTAATAATCAGAAGGAACGAATATGAGAATATCGTTACAATAATTTTCTCTCGTTCTGCTAAAAAAACAAAGCAATGAAAGCGTAAGACGCAAACTAATGTAATTGCTTTTTACAGGAAAAAAAATGTGTGTAATTGACCTCAATTCTTTTCTTCGCTCCCTTTAGTTTTATTTTTATTCCGTCGTTGCAAGTTATTTTTTCTCTTGTAACAATATGTCAATGTTAGCTCGTTTTGTCGAGCGGTAACTTTTATTCGAGAGAATGTGTATATCTATGTACATATATGAGTGATGAGCGTGGCCATGGTACCGTTGTATTCCGAAAATAAAAATGTCTATAAGTCGAGTTCTGCTTAACCGATTTTGATAATTTTTATTTCATTTTATTTGTCTATAAATAAACAATCACTTCTGAAAAAATCAAGTTCTCATTTGATTTAGTTTACGAGATATCACAGCAACACTATCAAATATCTAGCTTTCTGCGACATCTGCCGGTGAAAAACGCCTTTTTTTCGAATTTCGTTCGAGTTTTTGTGAAGTATCATTTACTCAAAATTTGCAGCGTTTGTCAAGCACTTTTGGAATGTCTTTAATTCTTGCTTCGAATGAAGTTTTATAAGTAGAAAAGTACCAATAATAGGTGGTAAGACACTTCTAATTTTGGTGTAGAGCGACATTAAAATCATTGGCTTGTCACTTGACAAAATTTGATTGGAAAGAATTTGATCAAATATGAACGAGAAAGGAAGGGAAAATAATTTGACAATTAAATGACATTTTTTTTTGGAACTTTGTTATTGCAAAAAATTACTCGAAACAAAAAAAAACGATATTCACACAAAACGTAGAGCGACATTTTGAATTTTGTGATTGCTTTAATTCGATGAAAAGTGAATGGTTTACTACGAAAATTTTACAGTTTTTGCAGCTCAAAGAGTAGAGTTATACCACAAAAAGTCAGGCAAAAATATATCTCCGTTCGAGAGAAAATTTAATTTTTCTAAGAAAATGTAGAGCGACATTTTTCTAGCAAAAAGTGTAGAGCGACATGTTTTGCAGTAATTATGCGTAAAAACTGATTGATATATGGATACAACGTGTAGAAATTGGACGTGTATAGAAAACTACTTTAGGATGCTAATACTTTTGTATCTCTATCATGTTCAGAACAGATATACAGTACTAGTTTGACAAGATTTTCAATGAAATAGTATGTCTGGCAACGATTATTATTCATAATGGCCAAATCCTCTAATACGTTTCATCGGAAGGCACGATATGCACGTTAATTTAAGTCTGATATATACTATTTGTTCTAATTTTAACGATTAATTACTTTAGATTAATAAACAAAAATGAATGAAAAACGTACTTTGACTCATGACCAAAAATACAAATTGAAAATAAAACTAAAACGTTTATCTTCCAAAGCTTTTGATAAACAATATAAGAAAAAGAAAGCAGCTTGTCAAGCTACTTATCGTCGTAATAAAGAACAAAAACGATTGAATGAACAAGCAATAGCATCAGTAATGCCAACAGATGGAAGAAAAACAGAAGGTAATCGCCGTCGGCGATCAACTATCAATAAACTAAGAACTGAAAATATGAAACTCCAAGCAAAGATATCTGTTCTACAAAAACAAGTGAAGAAACTTAATTTATTAGTACAGAAAACAAATGAATCTTCATCACCAGAAACACCACCAACATCTCCAACAAAATTATTTGTATCAAATGTAAGTCCAGCTGCCAAAAAGCGGGCGACGATGAGGATTATGGACAAAAGGGAAAACTTTGCACGTGGTACAGTTTCAAATATTCGACAGAAGTTTGGGATTAATATATCAAAGCAATACACACCTTCATCGACTATGCCTTCTCAACTTGAAGAAACAATTCGAGATTTTATGTGTAGAGATGATGTATCAAAATTATGTCCAGGTAAAAATAAACAAATCAATCATCACCAAATACGATATCGATTGAATCATTTAACAGTCCTTCACCAACAATTTGAATTAGAAACAAAAATGGATATTGATTATCATACATTTCGGCACTATGTGCCTTCGTTTATTATTAAACCAAAAGTCGATGATTGGGGAGCATGCTTATGCATTATCTGTCTCAATCCACAACTAAAATTCGACAAACTAAACCAACTGAAATCAACTAAACCAATTCCCAAACAACTGTTGAAATCTATGTCGGTCGATTTGAATGAAGTTTTAAATCATCAAGAGTCGACTAAACAATTAAAAGATGCTTTACATCAGTTAAAACATGAAAAATTTACTTTGACTTATGCCGAATGGAAAAAAGTGAAATTGTCTACAAGTTCTTCGGCAGTATCAAAAAAAGTTTCATCAGTTGCTTCCATGGAAGATTTTATAAAACAATTTTCAGTAGAAGTTGACGTAATTTTCATTTAAATTGCAGATTAATTGAAAGAATTTTAGTTTTCCCGTGTTATTAGAACCTTGAACATCATTTGCATCGCATTCATCAACAATTCAAGGCAGCCAAACAGGCAAAACTCGATGCACAACAATCAGATGATATTGCAACCATGCAGGTGGATTGAGCTGAAAATTATAATGTTCGACAAGCTCAAGAAGAAAAAGGTATTTCAAATGAGCTGAAACTATTTTCGA